CCACATAAGCAAAAAGAAAAAAGCTGGAAGTGGCACTGTGGCTCAAGTGGTAGAGCACTAGCCTTGAGCTGAAGAGCTGAGGGATAGCGCCCAGGCCCAGAGTTCAGGCCCCACCACTGACCCCCAAAAAAACCCAAAAAACAAAACAAAACTGAGAGGCAGAGCTAGGCCCTGAATTCAAGCCACAAGGTGACAAAAACCAAACCAAACCAAAAAAAAAACAAAAACAACCAAACAAAAACCCACAACAACTAAGCTGTAAGTGGAAGTGTAACTCAAGTGGTAGAGCATTAGCCTTGAGTGAAAAAGCTAGTAAGTAAGAGCTGGAGGCTCTTGAAGCCCCAGTCCTGACAAGAGAGAGAGAGGGAGAGAGAGAAAGAGAGGTGAACATAAACAGTAGCTATGGTATGGAAAAAGTAAATGGGTTTGCAAAGCAAGGAACAAGTGTGATCTACCTTAACAATGGTAAAGTTAAGGCCTCTGGCAGCACTTGGCCTATCAGGCCATGCTGACAGAAAGCAGCTGACCAAATGCTTCTCAGTATCAAAAAACAGCTCAGTACTGACCATCTGTGGAGCTGCAGGAGCCTGGCCGAAGCCCGACCACACGATCTGGATGGAAACTCAGAGCTGGAAAAGGTTCCAGAGAGGACAGTGATGACGAAGCTCCCTATCATGTGGGGAATCTAGAGGCTTCTAAGAATGAAGCAAACTGAACTGAGTCAACTCCTGGAGAGGATAAAGCTTGAAGAAGTTATGGGAACAATGTGTTTTTTGAAAATTCTTTGTTTTTTTGTTTTTGTTTATTATTTTGTCGGTCCTGAGGCTTGAACTCTGGGCCTGGGTACTGTCCTCAAGCTCCTTTTGCTCAAGGTCTAACAGTCTACTAGTTGAGCCACAGCACCACTGCTGGCTCTTTCCATGATTTAATTGGAGATATGAGTTTTGCAGACTTTACTGCCCCCCGCTGGCTTGGAATCAAGATCCTCATATCTCAGCCTCCTGAGCAGCTAAGATTACAGGCATGAGCCACTGGTGCCTGGCTTGAAAATTCTTCTGTTTATGGATCTCATAAAATCTAAATCTCTTTATATATTTATATATTTAGTCGGTCGTGGGGCTTGAACTCTGGGCTTGGACACTGTCCCTGCGCTCTCTAGCTCAAGACGAGCGCTGTACCACTTGAGCCACAGCGCTACTTCCAGTTTTCTAGTGCTTTATTAGAGATAAGAGTCTCACGGACTTTCCTGCCCAGGCTGGCTTTGAATCACGATCCTCAGATCTCAGCCTCCTGAGTAGCTAGGATTACAGGCATGAGCCATCGGTGCCTGGCAAAATCTCTTAATATTTTTAAGCTCAAGTTCCTTGGACATTGCAACTCTTTTCAGTTTTTCCTTAAACAGAATTCATTCTTTGTAGCTAACTAAACTAAGGAAGTCAGAGAGGGGCTGGGAAGGTGGCTCAGTGGTAGAGCGCTTGCCTTGCATGCATGAGGCCCTGGGTTTGATTCCTCAGCAACACATAAGCAAAAAGAAAAAAAAAGCCGGAAGTGGCACTGTGGCTGAAGTGGTAGAGTGCTAGCCTTGAGCTGAAGAGCTGAGGGACAGAGTTCAGGCCCCACGACTGGACCAAAAAAAAAAAAAAGAGAGAGAGAGAGAATAAAGTTTGGAACAAAGGTTAATAAAATCCTTTGCTGAGTGGGGGAAGGGGAGAGGAGGAAGAGGAGGAGAACAACAAAGACAAAGACCAAGAAAGTTGGGCTGGGAATATGGCTCAGTGGTAGAGTGCTTGCCTATCATGCATGAAGCCCTGGGTTCAATCCCTTAGTACCACATAAAGAGAAAAAGCCGGAAGTGGCGCTATGGCTCAAGTGGTAGAGTGCTAGACTTGAGCAGAGAGGCTCAGGGACAGAGCCCAGGCCCTGAGTGCAGGACCCAGGACTGGCAGAAAGGAAGAGAGAGAGAGCCCAAGAAAGCCAAGAGTAGTAGTCCAAACCTGTAACCTGTAATTCTAGCACTTGGGGAGGCTAAGGTGGGACAATCTGAAGTTCCAGGACCATCTGGGCTACATAGTGAGATCCTGTCTCAAAAACAACAACAACAAAAAACTTTAGGGACAACACTTAGACCCTGAGTTCAAGCCCCACCACCAACAAAAACAAGACTGGGCACAGTGGTTCATGCCTGCAGTCCCAATTACAAGAGGCCACAGGTGGAAGGATTGCAGTCCAAGGCTCGCTTTGGTCCAAAACACAAAACCTTATCAGAAACACAAATGAAGCAAATAGAGCTCGAGTCATGACTCAAGTGGTAGAGCACCTGCCTAGCAAGCATGAGGCCTTGGGTCTAAACCCAGTATTACCAAAAAGACAAAAATAAAAGGGTACTGAGCACCAGGCTTCACCCCCAGAAATGTTGGGTGGTGATCCTCAAACTTTCACATACTAAAGGGTCATTGGAGGACTAGTTAAAACTCACATTACTACCAGATGCTGTTGGATCACCTATAAATCCTAGCTACTTAGGAGGCTGAGATCTGATAATCGAGGTTCCAAGCCAGCCCAGGCAGGAAAGTTCATTCACCACCAAAGAGTTAGAAGTGGAGCTGGGGCGTCAAGTAGTAGAGCACTAGCCTTGAGGAAATAGCTCCGGGAAAGCACCCTAGGCCTAAGTTCAAACCCCATGACCATCACGCACGCGCATGCGTGCACACACACACACACACACACACACACACACATCACCTCACATTGCCAGACCTATGCCCCTAGGTTTATGATTCAATAGGGCTTCTGTATAAGAGTTTTATGTTTCTAGCAAATTCTTAGGTTGTACTGATGCTGCTGGCCTAGGCGCCACATTGGGAGAAGCTCTGGCATAGAGCAGCATACTGAGAAGATGCTGCTCACACCTTGGGCTGGGTGATGTGTGGTGTACAGCAGAGACCCTCGCTTGGCTCAGGCCTGTGGCTTGGGGCTGGCCCCTAGGGAAAGACACTTCCCCTCTAGCCTCATTCCCTCTGTCAAAAAGAGATAGACACTGAGGCTCTGGGCTTTCAGGGGCCTTGGGGGGCCTAGGAGAACCTAGTATGCAGAAGTGCTTACTAGGTATCAGAGTCCTTTTCCCTTTTCTTTTTTCTTTCTGGCCAATCCTGGGGCTTGAACTCAGGGACTGGGCTCTGTCCTTCTGTTGCTCAGGATTAGCGCTCTACCACTTGGGCCACAGTGCCACTTCCAGCTTTTTCTGGAATTGAACTTAGGGCTTCTTGCATGGGTAGGCAAGCACTTTACCACTAAGCCACATTCCTAGCCCTCCTTTTCTTTTTCTTCTCTTTTTTCTTTTCTTTATCTTTCTTTCCTTCTTTCTCTCCTTCCTTCCTTCCTTCCCTCCTTCCTTCCTTCCTTCTCCCTTCCTTTTCTTTTTGTGTATATAGGTCCTAGGGCTTGAACTCAGATCCTGATCACTATCCCTGAGCTTTTTTGCTCAAAGTTAGCATTTGAGCCACAACTCCACTTTCAGCCTTTTTTTTTTTTTTTGTCATGGGGCCTGAACTCTGGGCCTGGATGCTGTCCCTCAGCAATTCAGCTCAAGGCTAGTGCTCTACCACTTGAGCCACAGGGCCACTTCCAGCTTTTTCTGCTCATGTGGTGCTGAGGAATCGAACCCAGCGTCTCAGGCATGCAAAGCAAGCTCACTGAGCCACCTTCCCAGCCCTACTTCCAGCCTTTTGATGGTTAACTAGAGATAAAGAATCTCATGGGCCAGACGCCAGTGGCTCACGCCTGTAATCCTAGCTACTCTGAAGGCTGAGATCTGAGGATTGAGGTTCAAAGCCAGCTCCTGCAAGAACGTCTGTAAGACCCTTATCTCCAATTAACCACCAGAAAGCTGGAAGTGGCGCTGTGGCTCAAGTGGTAGAGCGCTAGCCTTGAGCTGAAGAGCTGAGGGACAGCGCCCAGGCCCAGAGTTCAGGCCCCACAACTGACAAAAAAAACAACAATCTCATAGATTTTTCTGCCCTGACTGACTTGGAACATTGATCCCCAGAACTCAGTCTCCTGAGTAGCGAGGATTGAGACACCAGTGCCCAGCTTCCCTATGATCGTGCAGATTCTCTTCTCCCTTTTTTTTTTTTTTTTTTTTGGGTCCGGTCGTGGGGCCTGAACTCTGGGCCTGGGCGCTGTCCCTCAGCTCTTCAGCTCAAGGCTAGTGCTCTACCACTTGAGCTACAGCGCCACTTCCGGCTTTTTTCTTTTTGCTTATGTGGTGCTGAGGAATCGAACCCAGGGCCTCGAGTATGCAAGGCAAGAACTCTACCACTGAGCCACCTTCCCAGCCCTCTCTTCTCCTTTTGTGACATCCTGCATCCCTTTTTTAGTCTACCTTCTCTACAAATCTCTGCCGGGCCTCTGGGCCTATATAAATTCCCAGGTATCCTTTCTAAGTCTCTTCCACTTTCTCTCTATTTGTATCTCTGGCCTTAGGTACAATGGACCCAGCCCTAGACACATGCCTGCCCCCAGAATGTATGTCCCATTTCTTTTAGGGATGGTGAGTTTTGTGGGCACCCTTTAAAGAGTACATGCACACCAGAGTCTGAATACCATAATTTGGTGACGTGATGTCTTCTCTGAGTAGGATCTAGGTCTGGAGTATGGCCTGGGTGGCTGAGTATCTGGGTGGGTCTGGCTCCTGCCAGCTCATATCCTTTGTTTCTCTCCCCTCAGGATGAGCAGAAGTGTGTGGAGACTGTGGAACTGGGCAGCTATGAGAAGTGTCAGGACCTCCGTGCCCTCCTGAAGCGGAAGCATCGCTTTATCCTCCTGCGATCCCCAGGGAACAAGGTAAGAGAGAATGCCTGCTGCTGACTGTCTCTCTCTCTCTCAAGGCCAAGATCTGTCTAAGATCACACTGGGGATAAAGGCAAGGCTGGCCCAACCACTCAAAGCAGCCTGCAGATTCCCTGTTGAATGGACTGAGGTGCAAACGCAGGAACAGATTGGACCTTCTGTCCATTCTATCTTGGAGCCACCCAGTCCCTAGTTGATGGACAATGCACTTAGAGTCTGCTGAGATCTCTTCTTTCCTTCCCTCAGGACTCCAGCCCATAGTTGCAAGTAGCTGTTGGAGGTGGGTCCTTGGCCCTCCCCTGTACCCTGGATACAGGAGGCCTTTGGCTGAGCTTGCTGTAGATGACTCCACCCTGCCAGGCCTGCAGCACCTTAGAGTCTAGGACAGAGGCAAGGGCGTGGCCTTTCCTTTATCTCCCTCCTCTCGACTCCTCTTGGTTCCAGGGCTAGGAGGCTGCAGCTCTGTCCTTTCTTGGCTATAGCTGGGAAAGATCACGAACCTGAGAGATTCTTTCCCTTGAGTGCAGATAGTTTGCTGTTTGTACCACTTTTCCCTGGTGGGAGTCTGGCAGGTGTTGCCCCAGGGTGTAATTTCACAGATGTCAGGAGGAGAGGGGGATCAGATTTGAGGCTGGCAGCGGAGTCCAGCACCTCCTGCCAGTTCCCTTCCCTCCACACCTCACCCTAAACTCTGCATGTCACCAGGTGCCTTGTATAGTTGGGGCTGACTCACAGAGAATAGGGAGGTAGGGAGCAGGTCTGGTCTGGGCCTGCTGGAGCCATTTCATTTCTCTTCTAGTTTTAGAGGGAAGAACCCAAGCTTCTGTGGTCTCTGGAAAGAGACCATAATGCTTTATCAATCCACGCTGCAGAGGGCAGGGCAGGGGAAGTAGGCTGTAGAATTCTAATACTGGGTATTAGTTGGGAATACCCATGCCCAAGGGAAGAGCCATGGGTCTTTTTTTTCTTGTTGTTTGTTCATTTGTGTGCTGGTATTAGAGCTTAAACTCAGGCCTGCATACTATCACTTGGCTTTTTTACTCACGGTTGGTGCTCTACCACTTGAGCCACAACTCCACTTGCAGTTTTTTTTTTGCTAGTTAATTGGAGATAAAAGTCTCCCAGACTTCCCTGCTGGGGCTGGCTTCAAACTGAGAATCTCAGATCTCAGCTTCCTGAGTAGCGAGGAATACAGGGGGGAGCCACTGTCACCCTGCATAGGTTTATACTGTTCTGAGAGTTCATGGGCTGAGCCCACGATTACAATATCTGCTGTTCAGGGCTCTTTGAGGACACAAGTCACATTTCTGGTCTCTCAGACCCTGTAGGCTTTACTGTATCCTGGAGACCTGCCGATCTTTGAGTGGATGCTGTATACGTGTCTGTGTGAGAGAGGCAAATTGCATGTCTGCTGTGTGCCAGTCCTGTGGTCATGTGCATGTCACCGAGACATGGTTCTGCTGGGGTCTTTGTGTGGGTGTCACTTGGTGTGCCTGTGTGGGGAGGAGGGGACTTGTCTCAGTCCTCTACCCATGCTGCTTTGTGACCCACTTCCATTCCCTACCCCTGAGGGTTGTTGTCCACTACCTGGGTCAGGCCCAGCTCTGGGTAGGACATTACCTTCAGAGAGGCCTGATTATTGCAGCTGAGCTCTCAGCTTCTTCAGCCACCCCGTCTCTTCCGTCTCCTTACCCTGCCTAGAGTTCAGATTGGCTCTGAGACTAGCGATGGAGCTATATGAAGGCAGCAATGGTGGCCTCAGGGGGAAAGGCCCCCCTCGATCCTCCTCGCCACCCCAGCTCAGTTTGAGGGCTTTCCCAGAGGCCAGATGGTAGACTGGCCCAGAGCATCCTCTCCTCAGTGTCCTCTTGGCTGCCTTTCTCATCACCCTGGGTGTTCCCCATCCTTCAGCACAGCCTCCAGTAAGGCCGGGAGGTCATGTGACCCTGGCTGTCTGGTCCTGAGGCCGCCTTTTTCCTCTCTAATCAAATAAACAAAGACTCCAGTGTCTTGCATGGCCCTCTCCCTCTGCCTCTCCATCCCCACGCCCCTGCCCATGAGGTCACAGGCGGCCGCTGCCAGGAAGCAGGGTGGCCACTGCTGGGCCTGGCTGTCCTGCTGGTCTTGGCCAGCTTGGCTCTTTCCTCTTTCCTGCCTCCTCTCGTCCCCCTCCGCCCCCCCTTTCCTCTCTGCCCTTCTGCCCTTCCCCCTTTCCCAGGCCTGAGGGCCTATTCTGTGGCCTGTCTTATTAGCATCTAAGTTTGTAGCCAGGCCTCTGTTCTTGGACAGGCATGTGGCAGGGACCTGTGTAGCTTCGGCCCTTCAAGACATGGCCCCTTTTCTGCGTTTGTTGTAGTTGTCTCTCTTCCAGTCATGCTTGTGGAATGCTTCAGAATGCTTCAGGGTAGAGCTGTAACCTGTGGGCTCTTCCCTGAGGACATTTCCTTCTCAGGCAGCCAGTACTTTCCCAGAACACACCGCAGCCTCAGGTAGGCTCAGCCAGTGGGCAAAGGCCAGAGCACGAGTTGGATCTGATAGTTCTGTTTTTGTAGTTTTGTTCCGTGCACACATGCCAGTGCCAGTACTACTGGGGCTTGATCCTCAGGGCCAAAGCATTATTCTGGAGTTTTATTGCGCAAGGCTAGCACTCTACCACTTAAATCAGAACTCCACTTTCGGCTTTTTTGCTGCTTCATTGGAGATAAAAAAAAATCTCCAGGCCTTTCCTGCCCCAGCTGGCTTTGAACTGCAATCCTCAGATCTCAGCCTGTAGAGTAGTGAGGATTAGAGGTGCGAGTCTTGGCACCCCACAACACTTGTGGCTTTTGGGTGGTTAACTGCAGACAACTTAGCCCTGGTTGGCTTCAAACCAGGATCCTCAGATGTCAGCCTCCCGAGCAGCTAGGATTAAAGTCTTGAGCCACCAGTGCAGGGACCAGACCCAATCCACGGGACTCTTCCCTGCCCCTCTGTTGCTCTAGGCTTCCATGTATGTCTTCAGCTCTCTGGGGTGCTGAGTCCTGCCCCAGCGTGGCCCCATCCCTTGCTCCCTTGCTCAGAGCTCCTGGATGGGAGCAGCAGCTGGGGTCATTGGGGCTAGCTTTGTGTCCCCTTTCCCAGCACGCGAGTGAATGGCCCTTGCAGGAGACCTTCCCCCTCTGTCCCCCCCTCCCCTGGTGGATGCAGTGTGGTCCCTCCCTGAGCCCCAGCAGCCCTGATCGCTGAGCTGAGAGGCAGTTGCCAAGGTGTCCTGGAGTTTCTGACTTAACTGCAGATCTACTGCCAGGGTTGAATTTACCCTGCTCATGCAAATGAGCAGTTGGCTCTGCATAGTGTGCAGGGGGGACCCTGGGAGCCCCGTATGAGAAGGAGGTGGCGCTGCCAGGAGGAAGTTATATAATGAGGATGCCGAGGGGCCAGGCCAGGCACACAGCGGTATTACATAACTGGGAGAGTTGGGGGAGGGGAGGCTGGGCTATCTAACACCAGGGCGGGGGATGGGCAGGCTGGCCACGGACAACAAAGAACTAGGGCACTTTGAGGTCAAGGAATAGGCAGCTGTCCAAAAAGGGGCTAAGGAAAGGAGTACTGGGCCAGTTCATTCATTTTTTTGGTTCATTCATTCAGTAACTAATTACCTTGGGCCTACTATGTGTCTGGCTTGAAACCCTGTCTGATTCCCTCCCCATCACTTGGAAGTAATCTGTGTTAACCCATTTTTCAGATGAGGAAACTGGGATTGTTTGTAAGGAAGTGAAGCAACAGCATTAATTGGTGTTATCAGCATTCACTCAATTCAGCCCCCAGTTTAGCATTTTGGATATTTCTGGATAGGGGATACTGGGGTTTGAACTCAGATCTTGTTCGTGCTAGACAGGCACATTCCATTACTTGAGCCACACCTCCAACCCTTTATGCTTTGGGTCATTTTTCAGATATGGTCTCATGTTTTGTCTAACCAAGCCTCAGATTGCAATCTTCCTGCAATGCCTCCCACTTAGCTGGGATTACAGACTTGAGCCAGTAGGCCAGAGGAGATATATCTTTTTTTTTAATTGTGGCCATAGCTGGGAATGTGGCTTAGTGGTAGAATGCTTGCCTAACATGCATGAAGTCCTGGGTTCAATTCCTTAGTACCATATACATAGAAAAGGCTGGAAATGGCACTGTGACTCAAGGGGTAGGATTGCTACCCTTGAGGAAAAGAAGCTCCCGACAGTGCCCTTCAAACCCCAGGATTGGCCAAAATAAATAAATAAGTAAATTATAGTTATATACACATAACATAAAATCCTAGCTACTCAGAGGACTGAGATCTGAGGGTCGCGGTTCGAAGCCAGTCCAGGCAGAGAAGCCCCATGAGATTATTATTTTAACATCTTAACTATCTTATTTTATTTATTTATTTTTGTTGGTTGTGGGGCCTGAACTCTGGGCCTGGACGCTGTCCCTCAGCTCTTCAGCTCAAGGCTAGTGCTGAGGAATCGAACCCAGGGCCTCAGGCATGCAAGGCAAGCGCTCTACCACTGAGCCACCTTCCCAGCCCTTACTTGGCTTTTTTCATTCACTGCTGATACTCTACCACTTGGAGCCATACCTCTAGGACAGCATTTTGCTGATTAATTGAAGATAGAGTCATACAAACATCACTGCTGGGATGGCTAAAAGATGTGATCCTCAGATCCCAGCCTAACTGTCTAGGATTAAAAGCATGAGCTACTAGTGCTTGGCCTTTTTACTCTCGGACTCTGTGATATGAACAACTCTAGATAATAGGTTGAAAGAACCATACCGTCTTTGTTGTCTTTTTTCGTCAGCCGTGGGGCTTGATCTCTGGACCTGGGTGCTGTTCCTGAGCTCTTCAGCTCAAGGCAAGTACTCTGCCACTTGAGCCACAGTACCACTTCTGGTTTTCTGGTGGTTAGTTGGAGATAAGAGTCTCAAGGACTTTCCTGCCTGGGCTGGCTTTGAACTGTGATCCTTAGATCTCAGCCCCTTGAGTAGTTAGGATTATAGGCAGGAGCCACTGGTGCCGGGCTGTTCAGTTACTTTTTGACCCCAGAGCCTTACATGAGGCCCAAATACTTTCTTTGGGTTTTTTTTTTTTTTTTGGTCAGTCACAGGGCCTGGGTGCTATCTACTTCCAGTTTTTTGGTGATCAATTGGAGATGACTCACACAGGTTTTTGTGCCTCGGCTGGACTTTGAACCATGATCCTCAGATTTCAGCCTCCTGAGTAGCTAGGATTACAAATGTGAATCATCAGCACCCAGCCCATTTTTTTTTAATGCTCCCTGAGGCAGATATGGTGCTGTTCTCTTATGGCTGAAGAAACTGAGGCCCAAGATGAGCTGTTACTGGTGACCTGTCCATCTTGGAGGCCCCAGTGGCCAACGTAACCATGCTGCATGGCATCACTCCTGCCATCATCCTTCCTACCATTGGGCCTGGCAGGGCCAGGGCTCTGAGCTGCCTTCCATTCTGACATAGGCTCAGGGCTGTCCCTCTAATATGTGAGCCACACCTCAACTTCTGGGATTCAGGAGTCAAGAAGTCAAGAGGAGTCTACTAGACGCCATGTCGACCAAATGTCATTGTACCCATGGGCCTCTCTCTTCATCTGCATGATCAGGGGTTGGAATTGGCTTCCTGATGCCCTTTTCTTTTCTTTTCTTTTCTGTTGGCTGTGGGGCTTGAACTCTGGGCCTGGACACTGTCCCTGCACTCTTCAGCTCAAGACTAGAGCTCTACCACTTGAGTCACAGTACCACTTCGGTTTTCTGGCAGTTTATTGGAGATAAGAGCCTCAAGGACTTTCCTGCCCGGCTGGCTTTGAACCACGATCCTCAGATCTCAGCCTCCTGAGTAGCTAGGATTACAGGCTTGAGCCACCAATGCCTGGCTTTGATGCTCCCTTTTTTTTCTGGGGTCCAGTCGTGGGGCCTGAACTCTGGGCCTGGGCACTGTCCGTCTGCTCTTCAGCTCAAGGCTAGCGCTCTACCACTTGAGCCACAGAGCCACTTCCGGCTTTTTTCTTTTTGCTTCTGTGGTGCTGAGGAATCGAACCCAGGCCCTCATGCATGCAAGGCAAGCGCTCTACCACTGAGCCACCTTCCCAGCCCTGATGCCCTTTTCTTTAAAGCCTGTAATTCAAGGCCGGAAAGAACCTGGAGTTTCAGGAGTTGGGGTATAATTTTCACTTAAGGTCAGAGCTGGGTTTGGGACCCAGTGTGGAGCTAAGGGTGGTCCTAATTCCTGAACACCCTTCATGCCCATCACCTTTGATAGTACACTCACCTTATTGTTGAGTATTGACTAGAACTATTCCTACTTGAAGAGAACTGAAGCCAGAGTTCAGGCAGCTGTCTGGGGTAGTCCTGGCAAGCCAGAACCAGATCAGAACTCTCCACGGGCCAGGGTGCTTCTGTCCAAGCCTCTGGAAGTGGTAGCCTGGGAGAGATCCCCTTTTCTGCTGGGTCTGTCCACACTTTAGATCCCCTTTTCTGCTGGGTCTGTCCACACTTGTCCCCAAGATCTGGTACCAGATCTTTTTGTTGTGAGGTCATTTTGGTTTGACTTTGAAAACTGGGGATAGGAAGCTTCTACAGACCTTCAGTGTAGTGAGTGAGGTATGGTGGCACATGCCTGTAATCCCAGCACTCTGGGAAGCTAAAGTAGGGTGATGGTTGAGATTAAGGTCGGCCTGGGCTACATAGCAAGACTCTGTCTAAGCAACACAAAAGACCTCAAACGTGAGCCCCATAGATGCCTACCATCTAACCTACGTGTCTTTCTCAAAGGTCAGTGACATCAAATTCCAGGCACCCAGTGGGGAAGAGAAGGAATCCTGGATCAAAGCCCTCAATGAAGGAATTAACCGGGGCAAGAACAAAGCCTTCGATGAGGTAGGACAGTGTGGTGTGGTTGGTTCTGAGTCCTCTGGCCCACCTATGCGTGGTCTGGGAGAGGATCTGCCTACTTTACCCAGACCACCCTTTAATTATGCTGCTGCTCTACACCCTGGGCCTTACTTCAGCTAATCCTCACCATAGCTTCTCAAAGTGGGTGGTGGATCCTGGGTGCCGGTGGCTCACGCCTGTAATCCTAGTTACTTCGGAAGCTAGAGCTCTACCACTCGAGCCATAGCTACACTTCCCACCTTTGTGGGATAGTTAAATGAAAACAATACTTTCCTGCTTGGGCTGGCTTCGACACACAATCCTCATCTTAGCCTCCTGAGTAGCTAAAATGACAGGCATGAGCCACCTATGCCTCGTTTCCCATGTGAAGCTTACTCTGGCTTTCTAGCTACCCCTGGCCCCCTTTCCTGGTCCTCAGAGAAGAGCTGCTGCCCTCTATGCAGTCAGACCTAACCAGTAGAGACTTGGTTCTCTCTGGGTAATCCTCAGGGAGCGGCGAGCGTGGCCGGGGCCAGGGCAGGCCTTTTCTGGAAACGAAATCTAGAGGGTAGCAATCTCATGGGCTTAGCTTCTCCCTACTTTCCAAAGCTGCTTAGATGTTTGAGGGGAAGTTCTGAGAGCCCATATTTAGGCAGCAAAACTGAGATAAACAGGGCAGCTGCAGAGAATAAGAGAGCTTCAGACTTAGCATAGGGTCCACCAGTGGCAGCATGGCCAAGCCAGGCAGCAGAGGTATCTCATAGCGGGCTCCAATATTGGCCCTGCCAAGCAAGCATGAGGTACAGGGGTACCAGACCCTGCCAATGAGTTGGCGAAGTCAGTATTTCCCCTTCTCCCCAAAGGACTGGCTGGGGCTCACCTATTTCCCTCTCCCTCCTAGGTAAAGGTAGACAAGAGCTGTGCCCTGGAGCATGTGACAAGGGACCGCGTTCGTGGGGGCCAAAAACGCCGACCACCAACGAGAATCCACTTGAAGGAGGTAAGGTCTTGCCCTCAGTTTGGATGCTGGGAGATCTGGTGAGCCTGAGACCCCAGCTCCTTCAGGTGGCAGGCAGGCTCAGGACAACCTGTTTCCTGAGGCTCCCTGGAGCTGGGGACATTATCCTCAGGGGTCAGTTTGAGGCCGTGGGTAGGGCAGGTTGGGTTGAGGGGAAGGAAAAGGGGGCCCCCCTGGGAAGGAGTGGGGGAGGGGGCTCCCCTCATAGGCTGCAGGATGGGGTGAAGAGGGAGGGACCCATGGAAGAGAATGCAAAGCAGGACCCACCCTGGCTTATGCTTGAATGTGAGGAATGGACAGGTCAGGATGGTGGCCAGAGGTGGCACAGGGCTGGAGGGAGGCCCTGGGCCCACATAGTGAGGAGAGGAAAGGGGATGCCTCTTTCAGAGCAGTGGAGCTGATGCGGGGGAGGGTTCCAAAGGCAAGAGTGATTGGCTGGGAAGGTGGCTCAGTGGTAGAGCCTTGCATGCCTGAGGCCCTGGGTTCGATTCCTCAGCACCACATAAGCAAAAAGACAAAAAAAGCCGGAACTGGCGCTGTGGCTCAAGTGGTAGTGCTAGCCTTGAGCTGAAAAGCTGAGGGACAGCACCCAGGCCCAGAGTTCAGGCCCCACGACCGGATCCCCAAAGGCAAGGGTGACATTAGAGGCTGGAGTTGAGCAGCCAGGGAAGAAACAGCAAGGGGGGGCAGTGCATCCCCCGAGGGATGGGCATGGGTCCTGACAGCCACAAGTAGCAAGGAAAAGCAGGTGGCGACATTGACAGTTTTTTCGGAGAGGAGTCAGGACTGCTGTGGGGAACATTACTGTGGAGATCCCAGAGGGGAGGACCCATGGATAGGAAGGCTCCAAGGTCTCAGATGGGGCAGCTGAAGGAAAGGCGCTGCAGAGAGGAAATGAGGTCCCAGGGAGCATAGGACACCCCATCCTCGATGGGGTGGGGAGAGGGCAAGCCTTGGAGAGGGGGGCCTCACAAGAACTCAGAGATAGAGTGTGCAGATGTGTGTGCTCACACATGCACACATGTGTGTGTGCACATGCCTATATGCATGTGTGCATGCATGTGTTTACTGGGGGATATCTCCAGAACATGCGCTTCCTGGTGGTCTCCAGGGACATATAGAGCAGGTGTTGGCCAGATCATGAGTTGCTTGCAAAAGGGAGTGAGGGTCCCAGCTAGAGCCTCGAGTCTATGAGGGATCTTGGGAAAAGGCCTCCTGGCCAGCTCTGTTCCAGGCTCCCTGAGAAGATTCCCCACGACTGTGGGGCGGCTGGCTTTCTCCCCTGTGTCCCTAGGATAACATTAAGGGGGGTGGTGTGTGGGCGGCCACCTGATTGGTACCGCTGCCTTCTGGCAGTCAGAGCTGGGCAGGCATGGACTGGAGAGTGGGTAGATGGGTGGAACAGAAAGCTCCAGAAAGGGCTGCAGGAGTGAGGGGGCTTGACATACACTTGACACCTAGATACCATCCCCCCTCCCCTCCTATCAGGTGGCCAACGCAGCGTCTGATGGGATTTTACGCCTGGACCTGGATGTTCCAGACAGCGGGCCTCCTGTGTTTACCCCAGGCCATGACGTCAGCCCAGCCCAGCCCCGGGAGACGCCACAGCCTCCCATGCCTCCTGCCAAGCCTTCCCCAGCACTTGAGAGGACCAACCTTAGTGATGGGGTAGAGACTCCTGTGGGGGAGAGAACCCCAACCCCCATCTCAGCCAGCTCCGAGGGCCAAGAGGATTCAGAGACGCCGGTGGGGGAGGATGGTGGTTTGAAATTGCCCCCCAGCAACGTCTTGCCCGACAAACTAATGGTGAGCTGGGACAACTCCAGCTTTGAGGAGCCCCCTGCTCCTGAGGGCGCAGAACTGTCTCGGGTGCCCTCGTCTGACACTTTGGAGGCTACCCCCAGGGAGGGTAGGAAGCCCCCCGCACCCCCACCGAAAATCTTATCAGAGAAAATGAAGGCCTGCTTGAATGGGGTGGAAGTTTCTGGTCCAGCCCTCAGTCCTGGGGCCGCTGAGAACGCTGCGTCAGGCCCTGAGCAGGTCTCAGTGAACGGCATGGATGACAGTGCCGAGCCAAGCAAGCCAGCCCAGGCCAAGGGCACCCCAGAGACTTCCCCTCAGGATGCCGCCCCATCCCCAGCCCTGCCCCGCTGGGACTCGCCGCCTCCGTTCCATCCCCGCTGCTCCTCCCTTGGGAACTTGCTTGGAGAAGGTCCCCGGCATCCACAGCTGCCCAGGGAACAGCTGTATCGGGCCCAGCTGGAGGTGAAGGTGGCCTCAGAGAAGACGGAGAAACTGTTGAACAAAGTGCTGGGCAGCGAGCCACCCCCCGTGAGTGCGGAGACCTTGCTCAGCCAGGCCGTGGAGCAGCTGAGACAGGCCACTCAGGTCTTGCAGGAGATGAAGGATTTAGGAGAGCTCAACCCGGAAGCCTCTGGGCTAAGAGAGAAGCGGAAGGAGCTGGTGACCCTGTACAGGAGAAGCGCACCCTAGGCCTGTGGCACACAGACGCAAGCATCCTTGGGGTCATCGTATCTGTCACAGCCCAGCCCTGCTGAGAAATGCACCCATAGCCCAGGCTGTACAAGGACACCTGGGCACACTGGATTTGACGAGGACTTGAAGAATCTCCTGGGATCCTTCTTACCCTGACTTGACCGGTGGTGCCAGGTGCCACCCAGGGCCACTGTGGCTCCCTGGTCTGACCTGGCCTCCAGGCCTCTGGCTTGGATTGGTCCACACACTTAGGCCCTGTATGCTGTGTGCTTATTCCAAACGGCCCAGGGCTTTGGCACAGTGCTTGGGGTTTCTGGGGTTTCTCTGGGTCCCCACCCCTAGTAGTTTACATTCCTGACTTCTGAATAGAGCAGAGCTGAGCCCTCCCCCCCCACCCCCCACCCCCGCCTCGCTTTCCCCATCTCCAGATGTTCCTGGCAGCAGTTAGCCCCTCAGAGGCCTTTGGTCTAGGCTGTAGGGTCATCTGTCCAGCTGGGTGAAACCTAGAGTCCAGCTGGAGTCTTAAGCCAAATGATAAGCATCTTCCAGACGAAGCCCTTAGCTGTACGGCCTACTCTAGGCCTGTTTCCTTCCCTGCTGACCCCTCTGCTTTGATGAGTTGTGATGGGAAGCTCAGATCTGGAAGATTCTAGGGAGGAGAGGAACTCCAAGGGTCTCCTAGTCTCTGCTCCTAGACCAGTATTGCAGATTCCTGCCTAGGTAAACCTCAGAGTGGCCTGATGTTAGCAAGTGAAAAACTGGCCAGGCACCAGTAGTTCATGCCTAGCTACTCAGGAGGCTGAGATCTAGGGACAGCACTTAGGGCCTGGATTTTAAACCCCCAATTACATCATTAAAAAACAAAACAAGTCGGGCGCTGGCGGCTCACGCCTGTAATCCTAGCTACTCAGGAGGCTGAGATCTGAGGATCGCGGTTCAAAGCCAGCCCGGGCAGGAGAGACCGTGAGACTCTTATCTCCAATAAACCACCAGAAAACCGGAAGTGGCGCTGTAGCTCAAGTGGTAGAGCGCTAGCCTTGAGCTGAAGAGCTGAGGGACAGCGCCCAAGCCCAGAGTTCAAGCCCTACGACCGACAAAAAAAAAAAACAACTGAAAAACCTGTCCATAATGATTATAAATCAACCTTTAGAGTCCCACCTGTCCCCAGACTTTTGTACCTCTCAAATGAGATTTATCTGAGTCTTCGGGGTTCAACCCAAACAAATCCAGTATTCCTGTCATTTCTGTGCTTGCTAGAGTCTGAGACCAATCCCCAGGTCCCTCCTAAGGAGGGAGAGTATTTTCTTCTCTCTTTTCCTGGGCCGTTCCTGGTCCCAGTCCGCCCCTATGGCCCCTAGCTCTGGGAACTCACTCACCCAGCCTTCTCCCCTGCCTTCCTCCCGCCCCCAGCAGCTGGACTGAAGGTGGGGCCTGGGTTGGGAGGGGGGGGAAGGGAGGATCATTGCAGCAGGCCCTGGTCTTTCTGTCCACTTAGCCCACCCCAGCTACCAGCTGTGCCCACTGAGGCCTTCCAACACCGGTAGAAACCTGTCCTGAAAGGAGTCCATACCAGGCTGGGTGGAGATGAACAGCAAGACCACGGCTTCTGAGCCCTCATCACCCTGCCCCAAACAACACTCCTTAAACCCCCATGCCATAGTCTGCCTTTCCTCCATTTCCGAGAGTGTCCTCTGGGGCATAGTCACGTGACTCCCTGCCACCTTCCCCCAGGGACCGGCTTTCCCCCACCAGCAGCCAGGGCTCTTGGCTTTAGCCAAGTCACCTTGCCTCCAGGAATTGGGAGACCCAGTCTCCTCCTCCACTGAGCAACTAGCTGGGCATGTAGCTCTGAGCCACCTCAGTGGCCAAATCACTGGTTCCCTTGCGTTGTTTGGCTGCCTGAGTGCCCAGGGTGGAGAGGACGAGGAGGGGACCCACAGGGGCTGCCTTCTTAACCTTCAGTGTCTTCTGCTTCTAAAAGCATCTTTCTTGAAGTTTGGCAATAAATCTCTTTTTACACAACTCCTCTGCCCCAAGCCTGTTTGTTGGTATGGGAGCCAGCTCCAAGACTGGCCTTGAAGGAGCACAGGACAGGTCAGCGCTATGACCAGTTTCTCCCTCCCCCTCCCCCCATCTCAATTTTAAGGCCCTTTTAATAGACTGAGCTGGAGGCCCTGTCCCTCCCTCAGCCCAACCCCTCCCCACCCAGCGTTTCTACACCCTAGCCCAAATGTCATAATGCTTTCTCAGTGCAAAAACTTGTTTGGAACTAATCTAAACAGAAAAGTTGCAGAAAAGACTAGTACAAAGAACACACCCAAATACTCAAGACTGACTTGCTTTTTAATCTTTCAAGCACTTTCTCTCTTCTACACTTTTTTTTTTTCCTGGATCATTGGAAATGAATTACCACTGTGTGTGTGTGTGTGTGTGTGTGTGTGTGTGTGTGTTGGAAATGAATTACCACTCTGTGTGTGTGTGTGTGTGTGTGTGTGGCCTAGGAAAGCCGTCCCTGACCTTTTTTTGCTCAAGGCTGGCTCTCTACCTCTTTAGCCACAGCACCACTTCCTGCTTCTTGGTAGCTGGAGATAGTCTCGTAGACTTTCCTGCCCTAGCTGGCTTTGAATCAAGATTATCTCAGCCTCCAAGATTATAGGCATTATAGCTAATACCATACTTTATTCATACTTTATTAAAACTTTAGTATGTATTTTCTGAAAGTATATGTGTTTGTGTGGTTTGTCTGTGTGTGTGTATGTGTGTGTGTGTTTAGCATCAGTAAACTTCACAACAATACAACAGTTCTGTCATTTCTGTCTGATTAATAGCCTGTATCACAAGGTTTTGGATTTTTCCCCTGGTTAGATAAGATGTTGGAATTCCTTTTTTTTTTTTTCTTTTGGTAGGTTGTGGGGCTTGAACTCAGGGCCTGTGCACTGTCCCTGGGCTGTTTTGCTCAAGGCTAGCACTCTACCACTTTGAGCCACAGCACCACTTAGCGGTTTTCTGGTGATTAATTGGAGATAAGAGTTACAGACTGGGGCTGGGAAGGTGGCTCAGTGGTAGAGCACTTGCCTTGCATGCATGAGGTCCTGAGTTCGATTCTCCAGCACCACATAAGCAAAAAGAAAAAAAGCTGGAAGTGGCACTGTAGCTCAAGTGGTAGAGTGCTAGCCTTGAACTGAAGAGCTGAGAGACAGCGCCCAGACCCAGAGTTCAAGCCCCACAACCCCCCCCCCACACACACACACAAAGACCACGCTCAAAGATATTACACCTCACTACAATTTCCCCAGACTTACCCTCTATGGATGAGTCTACTGAACAGGTGTTTCCTGTACTGGTTCCAAAATCATGATTCCATCTGTTTTTACCGTCAGAGCTTGTTATATTTAGGGGTAAGCGTGGACCCTGCTTTATGCCTCTGGATCCCTGACATCACAGCACCCTGATTGCTCAGAGCCAGTGGGTAGAAACCCAAGTTAGACTACCAAGGTGCCCATGAATCTGTTTTAGGAGGTCTCAATTTGCTTCCCCATGAGAGCCAGCCACCCAACCCCGTGGGAACCCAGGGCAGTGATGGCCAAAAGCTGCTGGACAGGCAGGCTTCCTAGCCAAACATAACAGGAAACACCTGACCTGGGACCTATCCACTGTGTCTATGACCCTGGGTCCCTCATGAATTCCCCTGCCTCAGCCTGGCAAGTGAGTGACCTAGGGGACCTCAGATGAACCATGGGGGGGGGGTGGGAGGAGGGGAACGGCATTTCATCAGTGAGGAGTCTTGTTGATGGGAATGTCTCTTCACCTTTGACCCAGGAAGTAAATCCCCTCTGGAGAAACCCCCTCCCCCCCACACACACACCTTGAAAGGAGCAGGGGCTGGGATAGTGTTGGTGGCCAGCAGCAGGGCTGAGGAAGAGTGTGGTAAGCACTTTCTTTCCTTCAGGCCTTGGGGACTGGAGGCAGAAAAGGGGAGCCTTTTGAACACAAGCTGGTGACACCTCAGAGATCTGAAAGTCCTGTGGGTAGTTACAATGTAGGGTTCCACAAACTGGCTTTGGAACGACTGTGTTGTATGTCCCAGGCAATGGCGTTATCATTAAAAAAAATTTTATTTTTAGGGGCTGGGAAGGTGGCTCAGCGGTAGAGTGCTTGCCTTGCATGCATGAGGCCCTGGGTTCGATTCCTCAGCACCACAGAAGCAGAAAAAGCCGCAAGTGGCGCTGTGGCTCAAGTGGTAGCGTGCTAACCTTGGGCTGAAGAGCTGAGGGACAGCGCCCAGACCCAGAATTCAGGCCCATGACCCACAAAACATAAATAAAAATTCTTTTTACAAAATACAAACATGGGTCAGTAGCCCATGGCTCATGCCTATAATCCTAGCTACTCAGAGGCTGAGACCTGAGGATTGTGGTTTGAACCCAGCCTGAGGGGTCGGGGCAGGGGGAGTGGGGGAGCTCATGAACTCTTACCTCCAACTCACTACCAAAAAGCTGGAAGAGGAGCTGTGGCTCAAATGGTAGTGTGCTAGCCTGGAGCTAAAAGAACTCAGAGACATGGATGGCTCAGGCCCTGAGTTCAAGCCCCAGGACTTGTACCAAATAACTGTGTGGAAGTTCATGGTGGTGATTCCTTCCTGTTGTCAGAGTCTTACAAAACCAACTTCCTGGAGCAAAGGTAGTGTCAGGAGCAGGGATTTGAACCCTACAGGGGTTGTGGCCTGGACCACAAGTTAGTGCTTCCTATTTCCCTGCAGGCCTGTGACTTCAGGTGGAGGAGGCTCAGTCTGGAGACTTGAGCTTAAGGCATCTCCACTTTCCGCTTACGAGGGATGCTCCAACGCAGTTTGGCTGTCTTAACAGCCAGCTATGGGTCTAAGGAGCAGCTCGGGAGGCCTTTCCTTATAAGGACAACAACTGAGATGTGATGAAAGTTCTGGGCCTCCCAGCTGGGTAGGCGGAGGAAGGGAAATGACTGAGGCTCCCAGAGCTACAGCCCAGAGCCTGAGCTTCTGCAGAAACTCTTGCTCGCCCACAGGCCTCTGTCCTCTTCCTCCTGTGTCAGCATCCCAAAGGGGGGCATAAGGCCAGTGGCATAGGTCCAACGCAGGACCTAGAAGGCCAAGATGCAGAAGGGAAGATGCATAAGCATCTGGCTTTTGGGTGGTTAACTGGGTGATAAGAGTCTTGCAGACTTTTCTGTCCTGGATGATTTTGAATTGCGATCCTCCTATGTCAGCCTCCTGAGTAACCATCCAGCACTCATTTTATTCATTTCTTGGTGAAGCACACGGTTTCTAGGCTGGAGCTACAAAGGCTCCATTTCTTTGCTCATCGCTACTCTGCGGGTGAGGGGAAAAGTCTGGCTGTAAGGCCAGGTCTGGTTCATGCTTCACAGATTTGCAGCCTGCTGGCTGCACACTGGGCTGGGTGGCCAAGGTGAGGTCTTCTGTGGCCCTCGATCTGCACAGTGGTTGAGGGCAGCCTTGCCCAAAGTGCTTGGCCAGCTTCCAGCCACCTCCCTCCAGGCAGCTCTGCAAAGAGTTAGCATAATAGGCCCTGCCCACTGTATTTCCTGCTTTGCCTGCGGCCTTGAATGTGAAGGAAGTGGGCTAGTGCCAGGCCAGGGCTATGCTGAAGTAGAGGCCTGTGGGTACCCAGAGTCCCCAAACTATTCTACAAAGGATTTCCCAGACCAGTCTCCACCCCCCCTCCCTCCCCCCTTACAAAAGGAACCTTGAAAAGAACGTAGACTTGGACATTAGTCCTAGGCCTTCATCAGCCCCCACAGTGGCTGTGGAAGGCAGGATCTCCATAAACTTCATGCCTCTACCTGTTTCTGGAGTCCTAGAGAGACTGTCTTTT